ATGACAACAACCAAAGAAACCTTCTCTTTTTATTTCAATTCCAAAAACCAGTGATTTTGATTGTCATTCCCAGGAGTCAAATTCTACACACTCTACAAATGTTGTTTGCTTCTTGATAGACTTCATTTGCTTTATTTTTTTGGCAACTCTTGTAGATGAATTGGAGTTCTACTCTCCCTATGTGTTCTCATTTACGTCAGCTTTGGGTTGAGTCTGGAGACCATTACAGCAAATACTTCTGTTTTTCTTCAGTTACAAGAAATAGATGAGAGATTTGGATAGCATGATTAATGCTGAAGACAAACTATGTAAACCCATGAAACATGATGAAGTGGCCAAACTGGGGCAGCAGATATTTCTATACTCATATTTGAGGTAATATGAACTCAACAAAAACTCAACTCCCTTTCTAGGAAGCTACTGGGTAAAGCATTTGGTGGTATTCTAAATTGATTTGAAAAGATAAACTTTTTAAAAAACCATATTTTTATTTTGAAATAATTTTAAATTTACTAAAGTTACAAAGATAGTACAGTTTCTGTGTACCCTTCACTCAATCTCCCCCATTGTGAACAATTTTCATTATGGAACATGGTACATTTGCCGAAGCTAAGAAACAAACATTGGCACTTTACTATTAATGAAACTCCAGACTTTACTTGGATTTCACCAGTTTTCCCACTTACTGTCCTCTTTCTGTTCCAGGATCCAATCCAGGTTACCACATTGCAGTTAGCTGTCATGTCTCTATACTTTTCTCTGGATTGTGACCATTTCTTAGTGTTTCCTTATTTTTCATGACCTTGGTGGGTCTAAAGACTACTAGTCAGCTATTTAATATTTCTCAATTTAGGTTTGAAGAATGTTTTTCTCATAGTTAGACTGAGGTTGTGAACTTTGGAAAGAATACAAAGAGGTGAAATGCCCTTCTCATCACACCGTATGAGGGGATACCTGATCTCAAACTGACATCACACTGATGATATTAACCTTCATCATTTGTAAAGTGGATGTTTGCCAGATTTCTCCATGGTAAAGTTACCTATTTTTCAGAATTGGACACTTTAGGAAAATATAACAAGCCATATCAATACCACAGGAGGGAGTTATGCTGTTAGTGAAACAAAACTATGGACATGTATAACCATTTTGCTGTGTTTGCATTTTAGAATAAGTAAATTTGAACCATTCATCCAAGGGAATAACAAACGGATGTTTAAAAAATCATTCCTCTTCAGATATTATTAACCATATATCACAGGGCTTTTTTATCGTAGCATAATAGTGAAAAGCCATTCTCTCTGGGTTTGAGTCCCAGGCTCAATATTTTGTGACTTGAGGGAAGTTACTTAACCTCTCTGCACCTTAGTTTCTTTTTTGTAACCTTCAAGTCCCATAAAAATAACACTATCTCCTTCCCTTGTTGGGAAGACTGAGTGAGTCAACATTTGTAAAACTCTTAGAGCAGCACCTAGAATTGAGCACAAAATAAATGTGCTGTACCTTGGGGTGGGTGCAGAGGTTTAGTAACTTACCTATGGTATGTGGCAATTAAACAAAGGAAGAGGTGGGGCCGGCCCCGTGGCATAGCGGTTAAGTGCACGAACTCTGCTACTGGCGGCCCAGGTTCAGATCCCGGGCGCGCACTGACGCACCGCTTCTCCGGCCATGCTGAGGTGGCGTCCCACATACAGCAACTAGAAGGATGTGCAACTATGACACACAACTATCTACTGGGGCTTTGGGGAGAAAAAGGCAAAAAAAGGAGGAGGATTGGCAATAGATGTTAGCTCAGAGCTGGTCTTCCTCAGCAAAAAGAGGAAGATTGGCGTGGATGTTAGCTCAGGGCTGATCTTCTTCACAAAAAAAATAAAATAAAAAAATAAAAGAAGAGGCCTGTTTCATATTTACTCAGAATCCTGAAGCTCTTACAATTTGTCAGCTGCTGTGTTTGTTGAAGAAAAAAGCAAATTTTCAGTGACCTGTTAAAGTGTGTTCCACAGAGAAAAGTTAAGAGAGATTAGAGAAAAAATAATCTCTTCATGCTTTTCTGGCTTTTATAGACTTTATAAAACGAGCTTGTATTACACTCACAGTTAGAAAACAAAACAATACATCTTTCAAGTTTTAAAGAATAACTTTTGTTATTTCTGGGCCAGTTTCCCACCAAATCCCAGAAAGCCATCGATAACAGGAGTAACCACACAAACTCTCAATTATTCATGTGCTAGTCCCATATTTTATAACTTTAGATTACTTCTCATTTTCTACTGCTTAATACAAGTTTTAACCTCCCTTTAATTTCTCTGGTTTTTCTCCCAGGATTATACTGAGAAACACTACAGTATTTTTAAAGACAGTCATTCATTTTATAAATCTTTTCCAATAAATAAGATGGAGAGTCTTTAATTCAATCTCCTTTTTTATAGATAAAATGATGGAAAGTAGCACTATAAAATAAATCAATGATTGATGTCAGCAGTAAAAACAAAAATCAAAAAACAAACTCATGTAAGTGCATCTCCCAGTAGAGAACAGATGTGCCTTCCTTTCAGAAAGCCTGATACAGAAAATATTAAATGTGAAAAGAAAAATTGGAGAGTTAACCTTTCCGTTACAATTTATTTTTCTTTATAGAAGGATTCACAAATGTTGAGTTTCTCTTTAGGCAATGTTGGAAAAAGCTAATTCCACTTGATTTATTTAACAAACATTTATAAGATGCTTAATCCGTGCTGGCTCTCACAAATGTTGACTCATTCCTCATAACTACTGTTAAAAAAGAAATAACGGCCAAAAATGGAGTCATTTGGCCCCAGGACATCAAACCAAGGCTTAATTACAGTTTCAACCTATCCCAGGAACGTGACCTTTAAACAGTCAATCTGAAATTTCCTGATGGGCACTGGTGAGGTTATCTGCATGATAAAGACCGCTGCAGTTCTCTGCCCCTCAAAAGAAGATGTGCTGGCCTGAAACAGTCCTTTCTTTCCTTTTACTAATAGCTTCCTTGTCCCATCCTCCTTCTGCTTATAAAAACCTTCCATTTTGTACAACTCCTCAGAGCACGCTTCTAGTTGATAGGTGGCATGCTGCTCGATTCATGACTTGTTTAATAAAGCCAAGTAGATCTTCAAGTCTACTGGGTTGAATATTCTGTTTTTTAACACTACCTTGGGGCAGGCAAAGCAATATCTAACAACTTGCAGGTGATGGGTGACAACTAAGCCCAGGACTTTGGCTGCACCCCTGGTGGCTGGCTATGGGGCGCAGGCTCTGATCCACTGAGCCAGGCTGCCGAGAGCCCTGACCCGAGACACCCATCCCTGGGCTAGAGGCCATTTCTTTCTCTTCTTTCCCTTCCCAACGTATTCCACATCTCCAAGAGGTCTGAATCCAACCTGAAGAACTACACTTGTTAAAAAGAAAACCACAGGCCCCAAAAGGCATCACTCATGCTAAAGCCCATGATACCACATCTAGATGTAATACTTGATCTCTTTGCAGTTTCAACCTCTCCCAGAAATGTAATCTTAATCGACCAGTCTGGAATTTTCTGGTCAAGCACCAGTAAGGTAATCTGTCACATGGGCCCTCTCCTTCTCTTCCCGCCCCCGACAGAAGAAGAAGACGCAATCTGCATGATAAAGACCCCTGCCTTTCAGTTCCCTTCCCCCAAGAGGAGAAGGCCTGGCCTAAAAATAATCTTTTCTTTTCTTTTGCTAATAGCTCCCTTGCCCCACCTTTCTTCTTATAGAAACTTTCCCTTTTGTACAACTTCTCAGAGCACCCTTCTAGTTGCTAGGTGGGATGCTGCCGGATGCATGAATTGTTTAATAAAACCAATTAGATCTTCAGATTTTCTCAGTTGAATATTGCCTTTTACCACACTTAAACCTTCCATACCTAATGTTGAATCTATTCAATGTTGAATCTATAAAACTTCTGGTGAAAAAATAGTAAGGGCATCAGGTTAAAACACTGAAATTCCTGGTCAGAAAACAAAGACATGTCAATGCTTGTTTCTAGAGAAAGGGGGAACCAACACTGAAGGTCCTGGTAGTAAATGGAACCGGGTTGTACCCGTGGTTCTGCGTTTCATATTTGATCTGCACACATCCGGACTAAGGGTGCTACACAGCACGTATCCACTCTCCAGTGTCCATGAGGTATTTTGTCCAAGGATAGACCAGCAAAGGTGAACTGGTTGAGCCTGACCAACTAGCCCCTCCGCAGCTTCAGAGTGACCGCCAGTCCCCTGCGAATTTCATAGATCAGATCCGATCCCCTCATACATGGGAAAGGAGATCTCCCGAGAATTTTAGAAGTTCCAACACTTCAGAGGGAAGGAAGTTCAGCAGGTTACAAAAGAAGAGGTTATGTCACGGCCGTCGACTTCACTGAAATTAATACTGGATTCAACTTTTGACACTAATTCCTGTTCCACCAAATGGAAAACATAACCAAGATAGGCAAAGTGTGACTTGAGAATATACAACAAGAGGAACAGGTCGAACATCTTTCTCTGGAATCCCAGGTAACAGCTGTATTTTTGACATAGAGCATTCGTTTCAGACGTATGATATAAGCAAAACCGAAATTTTTAGAGAGACCGAGACAGAGACTATATATAGAGGATAGATCACTAAGCAAAATTTAACCCCTTGCCTCTCCTTAATTCCCCCAGATGTGATAACTAAAGCGACATTAACTTTCTCTCTCTAAAGCTGTCAGTACCACCCCTGTCGGGGGTCTCGCGGACCTGCCCTCAGCGCTTTCCCCTCTCCCCACCCCGAGACCAGGGGTCACTCGGCGCCCACGGTCCTCCCTCGCAGGCGGCAGCTCCAGCGTGGCTGCGACTCACTCCCCCTTTGGGGATTTGGGGACGGAAGTGAACAGAGAACTCGGAGTCCGCGGAGTTACAGTCACGCGGGAGGCGACACGCTGGGTGGTGGCACCGGCGGGTCCCCCCACCCTGCTCCACCCGGGGCGGGGCCGCGCTTCCTTCCGCGCCCGGGAGAGACCTGCAGGTCCGGGAATTTCCCTGGCCCGGGGCTGTGAGCTTTCCCGCCCCGACCATGGATAAAAGGGGTGCTCCCGTCTCGGGGAGCCACAGAGCTCGCTCCGCCAGCAATCCCGCCGGCCCTCCCGCTCCAGGCACCGCCGCCCCGACCCTCCGAGCTGAGCCCCATGGCCCGCGCCGCCGCCGCCGCCGCCTCCCGCGCTCCCCGGCTCCTCCGGGCCGCGCTGCTGCTCCTGCTCCTGGTCGCCGCCGCCCGGCGCGCAGCAGGTGCCACTCGGCGCCCTGGGGTCCCAGGGGCGGGACCGGGGTCGGGTGGGCCCACTGGGGGACAGCCCCGCTAACCGAGTCCGTTCTCCCCGCAGGCGCGCCCGTGGTCTCTGAACTGCGCTGCCAGTGCCTGCAGACCGTGCAGGGGATTCACCTCAAGAACATCCAGAGTGTGAAGGTGACGTCCCCAGGCTCCCACTGCGCCCAAACCGAAGTCATGTAAGTGCCGCCGCGCGCCCCCGCTGCTACAGTCCTTGTCACCCCCACCGTCCCAATGTCCCCCACCCTGACCCCCAGCCCGACCTTCTGCCTCACGTGTATTCTCCCTTCTCTCTGCAGAGCCACTCTCAAGAATGGACAGGAAACTTGTCTCAACCCCGAAGCCCCCATGGTTAAGAAAATCATAGAAAAGATGCTAAACAAGTGAGTTATGGTTTTATTCACGCGTGTAACAAGAGCAAGTGGTCACAAATATTGGCATCTGTCTCCTGAAAATTATATCAGAGAAACCCAGGGTTTAGCTGAGGGAGTGAAAATCATTATTTCACAATTAGATTTGCCATTGAGATCATTAATCTGGTCTGGTGCCAGAAGGGTATTGCTAGTGCCCTCCATCCCCACCCCTGACCCTATCCCGGTTCAAATGAGTGTGGATAAAGCTGCCCTCATTAAAAATCTCATTGGTGTTGGCCAGTTATGCTAAAAAGCTTCTCACCTCTTAAAAAACACAGGCATTTTTTCCTCAGTTCTTTCTGGGCTTCACATCTGAAGAGCAGAACCCTTGATTTTCTGCAACATGGGCCCTAAAGCTTATGAAGAAGAGCAGGGACTTTGCAGTGACACTGCACTGGGTACAAATCTGGGTTCCACCACTTATTAGCCATGTGACTCAAGGACAGTTATTTGGTTTATCTAAGCCCAGTAAAACAGGGAAACAATAGCAGCTACTGCATGGGGTTGCTGTGAGGCTTAAGTGAGGCCCAATGTGACAGACAAAGAGTCATAGGTTCTGGCAATTTGTAGCTAATAATTCAGTATTCCTAAACAAGAGCATCCCTAAATAAGAGCATCTAAGAGCCTAGAAGTCTCTGCAGCGTAGTATAGGCAGTAGCCACTTGGTGCCAGGCTGGGGAAATTTAAATTCAGAAAGCTCCAGAACATGGGAGGCAGGACAGGAGAAGAGTGTTGCACAGCCAGCTTCCCTGAGCACCTAACTAAGTACCTTTTTCTCATTATAGGGGCAAATCCAACTGACCAGAGGAAGGAGAAAGCTGATCAGTGGCTGTACCTGGAGTAAGCCCTGCCCTTACAGGAATCAAAGAGGAAAAAGAGAAATGAATCATCAGCTCCCTAGGCCACCTGGATTGGGCTTAATATGTTTGAGCATCTCTAGGAGCATTCCTCCATTAATTTATTTATTTATTTGTTGATTGATTTTCAAAGATTCTATGTTAATATCTTACATATAAAATAATTAAGGATGTGATTGAATCTACTTGTGCACTGTACCGTTATTTTTATTGTTTATTTTATGTCAAACCTAAGTTAGTACAATCCTGATTTTTATTTATTTTGAAGGTAGAAGGTTAGCAAATGTCCTCCAGTCATTAAACTAATATTTTTGAGGAGCCCAAAGCATGCCAGCCTCTGTCACAGAGGCTGCGGGATCTAAGCAAATAGACAGTGAGGTCATTGTCAGGGTGGGGGAATGTATATGTATATCTATTTTTGTAACCATTTAAAAGAATGTCAGCTATTTATTGAAGTGATTTTACAGTATTTGATCAACATTTCTCATGTTGAAGCTTTAAGAACTGCAACGTTCTAAATATTCTTTGGACATTTCATGTCTACCTTGTAAGGCATAATGTCTTGTTTAGTGTTAATTATGCAGTATTTCTTTATGTCTTAGACCAGAGAGGTTTAAATATTTATTGATGATTTTGCAAAAGCATGACAATAAAGTATTTCAAGATGAATAATGTTTGTTTTATTTTCTGGAAAAAAAAGAGGGCTATCTTTATTGGATATTCTGATGATTTACATCAGTGTTTCTCAACTTTTTTTTTTTTTTCCTGCTAGGCATTCAATTTGCTACACAGATAAATCAACTATAAGTTATTCTTAATTTCATCTGGTGGTAGCTGTCATTCTCTTTGGCTCCCACCTACCCAAGAACGTGCTTTTCCAAAGTGGGGGCTGCCTCGTCCCCATCAGTGTGAGAGTCACTGATATATATTGCTGTTTTTTATAAGGGGCTCCTTTCTACCTGCTACTCAAGTTTACCTCCTTAAAAACATGTACATTCTTATAGCTATCTTAACAAGGACTCTTGTTTCATTGCCTTTGCTAAACAATTTTTCAAACAATTATGGACAATTTAATAAAACTGGGGGCGAAATGGTAGTAAAGTAGTTTTTTCTTAAAAACAAAAAATTTGTGTCATCAATAGAAGCAGAAAAAGTGAATGGTTGAGTACTTCATCTATGAAAAGATCTAATGGATATTTGGGTTCTAACCTTCATTTATAAGAAACTACCACTGATTTTAATGTTATCCCAATCCTTTGTACCAATTTGTCAAATAGAACAGTTTTAAGATTTGAGTGCATTTTTTTTGTGTGTGTGAGGAAGATCAGCCCTGAGCTAACATCCATGCTAATCCTCTTTTTGCTGAGGAAGACCGGCTCTGAGCTAACATCCATTGCCAATCCTCCTTCTTTTTACCCCAAAGCCTCAGTAGGTAGTTGTATGTCATAGCTGCACATCCTTCTAGTTGCTGTATGTGGGACGCGGCCTCAGCATGGCCGGAGAAGCGGTGCGTTGGTGTGCGCCTGGGATCTGAACCCGGGCCGCCAGTAGTGGAGTGCGCGCACTTAACCGCTAAGCCATGGGGCCGGCCCTTGAGTGCATATTTATGGAAACTGATAGATTATTTAGCCTGAGAAAGTCCCAGAACTTGGTATTCAACACTGCCCCAGGATGACAGCAGCACTCCAGGTTTCCAAGACAAGAAAATTTGCTATGTCAAAGAAGGAAAGATCCCTATAAGCGAAACCAATATAATCCAAACCTGAAAAGGAAGAACGTTTGTGCATGTGTGGGACGTGTACTTGGCTCTGCCTCAGGACTCATTCAGGAAATCCTGAGCCCTAGGTAAAAGCCTTCAGCAGAGGCAAGAAGGCAGAGCTGGCATCTTGAATACTTGAGATCAAGTTCTGGCTGGCTCCAAGAAGCTGAGTAAGTAAGGGCTCTAAGTAGCAAGAAACAACTCTGTGAGCTTCCATCCACTTAAAAAAGTTAAGAATAATAATCTCTTCATAACTCCAATGTTATTAGTTATAGATGAAATGAGAAGAAAGCAAATTTGTGAACTGTATAGAAGTAAAAGCAAACCGTTCTAGAAGCTCCATAAAAGCTAGCATTCACTCCCTAACCCCAAATCAAAGGACATTGGAAAATGTTTACAAGTAGGACCCCAAGGGCTCGATAAAGCCCTCACACCTAAGACCAGTCCTTACACTCAAACACCGTGTGGAGCTTGCGGTACTGGCCACTTAGCTCTGGTCAGTACAGGACATGGAGCACGAAAAAGGAGAAAGGAGACACTTCTGTTCATACGGTGGTTAAACACAAAGATTTCAAAGAGTCAGATTGACTTTGAAGTAAATTCCAGCTCTATCACTTGCTGACTGTGTGACCTTGGGCAAGTTTCTTGACTTCAGTCAACTGTATTTTCCCTTCTGTAAAATGAAGATAATAACAGAATACACTTTCTGAAGTTGTTGCAGGAATTAAGTATTATTAATGGCTCTAGAAATCTGTCACTGGTCCTCAGGCCAACTTCACGGACATTGTCTCAGTGTCAGTCCCGGATGAGTGGATATGTGGTGTCGTTTTCTTACCAAACTGCCCTGAGACTTTGCAAGCACAAGGCGGTCTCCCATTGAGAGTGTTAGTGGCAGGAAATGTGACACAAGAGTCTGTGAGGTGATGGTCATGGGGTGAAGGAAGTAGGAAAACAATATTATGTGACACATCACAACTTTGAGAGGTCATCAGCGGGAGGGAGCAACGGCAAGAATGACTGAGGTTTCCTGAGCAATGACACCAAAGAAGCTAGATCCAGAAGGGAGGAAATATGACTGACCCTGTTCTGTCATTGTGAGTCTTTCCTTGTGAGTTCCACTGAGATGTTCTCTCAGGACTTCCAGAAGTGACTGACATTTGGGAGTATGGCAGAGGTGGCAGGCCTGCAATAGCGTAATGGGGGCAAAGATGATACTGTTTCTCTGTTTTTTGACTACCCACACAAATAATAAGGGGACGGCCTTGTCCTTTCTTCACAACTGATGTCCTACTCCATATCCCCTCTGCTTACCAGTGAGTTTTGCAGTTGCAATGAGCAACATCCATACATGCTGACTGGTTCCCAACTCAAGTTCCTCTGTCCTTTTGATTCTCTTCCTGAGGGCTTTCTCCATTTGGGCATGAGGAGGCAGGCACGGCAGAGAGAGTTTGCTCAGCTCGCAGGCAGGATGACCTGTGATTTAATGCCCTCAGAGCAACCATCATTGAGGGGAAGGAGTTAGTGGATCAATATTCTATTTTCCAGTCCCTTGGTTGGACAGTTCTAGAAGTTACACTATATATGTGTATCTATATATATATATATATACTTTTTTTCAACTTCTCCTTCACTATGTTCACATTTTCTTTTAAATCCTTGAGTATATTTATAATAGATTTTTTAAAATCCTTGTCTACTAATTCTATCATTCTATCATTTTTGAGTCTATTTCTATTGGCTGATATTTTTCACCCCCGGTTGTGGCTCATGCTGTACTACTTCTTGGCATGTGTAGTAATTTTTTATTGCATGCAGAAAATTTTGAATCTTATGTTGTTGAGTGTCAAGATTTTGTTTTCTTCCTTTGGAGTCTTGATCTCTGTTCTGGCAGGCCATTAAGTTACTGGAGCATCAGTTTGATTTTTTTTTAATTATTTTATGAGGTCATATTGGTTTATAACATTGTGTAATTTCAGGTGTACATTATTATATATCAGTTTCTATATAGACCGCATCTTGTTCACCCCCAATAGTCTAATTTTTATCCATTACCATATATATGCACCCCTTTATCCCTTTTGCCCTATCCCCCACCTCCTTCCCCTCTGGTAACCACTAATCTGTTCTTCTTATCCATATGTTTATTAATCTTCCTCATATGAATGAAATCATACGCTGTTTGTCTTTTTCTGTCTGGCTTATTTCACTTAACGTAACACCTTCAAGATCCATCATGTTCTTGCAAATGGCACAATTTTGTCTTTTTTTATGGCTGAGTGGTATTCTATTGCATATATATACCACATCTGTTTCATCCATTCATCTGTTGATGGGCACTTGGGTTGTTTTCACATCTTGGCTTTTGTGAATAATGCTACAATGAACATAGGGGTGCATAAACCTCTGTGTTGTTGATTTCATGTTCTTTGGATAAATACCCAGTGGTGGGATAGCTGGATTGTATGGTATTTTTTTTTTTCTTAGTTTTTGAGGCTTGTTTTTAAGCATTTTTATCACGGTCTAGAGAGAGTTCTTTGTCCAAAGGCTTGTTTAGGTATATTGCTAAGTCATGTCCCTTCTGTGTCTCTATTGAATGCCCTGAGTGCTCACAAGTTCTCTCCACTCTAACAAGTCAGACCTCAAATATCTCCCTGTCTCATACAAGGTCTGAGAATTGCTCAGCTTACTGATCTCTGGCCACTCTGTCTGACCCTATGGAGTTTCACCCTACGCACGTGTGACTTAGCATTAATCAAAGAGACGCAATGGAACCTCGTCCAGAAATGCAGATTTCTGGAGCTCTATTTTCTTGCATGGATCTCTCCTTTCTACAACTCTGCTCCATAATTTCTAGTCACCTCAGTTTCCCTGAATTAAAATTTGCATCTCTTCAACTCAGCAAGACCATTGCACTCTGCCTGGTATCTCCCTTCCTGCACAGTGGTCCAGAATTTCTCCAGCAAAAAAGCTGGGGTGATCATGGACCTAACCATGTTTGTTTCCTTTTCGCAGGGGCTCTAGTCCTTTGCTGTCTGTTGTTCAATGTCTAAAAACAGTTGTTTCATATATTTTGTTGAGTTTTCTAGTTGTTTACAGCAGGAGGTTAGGACTGTTTCCTTTTACTCCAACATGGCTGGAATGGAAGCTTTGGTGGGACAATTCTGAGGAACATTTTACAAAGTTTCTCAGAGGCCCCACAGCAAGATTAAGCCTTAATTATCTGCAGTGATATTTCATCTATTGCATATACTTCATTAGCTTATCTCTCTTCCTTGTCCTGTATTCCCCCACTCCCTCACTTATTCTTCCTACGATCATCTCCAAGATAAACTACCACACACAAGTCTTTGTTTCAGAATCTGCTTTCAGGGGAACCCAAACTTGGTCACTTGGATTCCTCACAAATTGCATCTCAGGGCTAAGATTTATGTACTACTATTTTGTTAAGGAGTATAATAGCAGAGAATCAGGAGGAAGGAAAACGTGAAGTGGGACAGGGGAAAAGTGATAACTAATAGGAGAGTGCTAAACCACAACCACTCAGACCATTGCTAAGCACAGCTGAGTTCTTCATCTCACTAGAGGCTCTTGTGAGTGTTTGCTTTCTTATTCTGAAGAAACTATGAAACCAACTCAAATCAAGAAATTGGAGTTGCTGGATTTACATTAGAGAGTCATAAATCACTCCAACAGCAGGGCATCCGCCTCTGATTTCTCTTCTTGGGCTGAACTTGAAGTCAAAGCCTGGAAAGCTGGATCCATAAGACCCTAAAGTTGGGGAGAGGAGGTAGAATCTACAAAACCCACATCCAGGACCTTATCTTCACCTGAGAAGAGGATGGTACTCCTAGTGACATTTTGTCTTCCAAATTAAAAGTGACCTTTTCCTATCTGCATATTATCTTTT